ATAATATTACCACTTCCAACAGTATTCCCAATACTTGAAATGGGGAATAAATTTCAAACTGGCAAAATAATCAAAATGAAAAACTTTAAGTGCAACCTTTGTAGCTGAAAAAACCCAAAGCCCCACAAACTCCAGCCTTCACACATATAAACACAAATGCCTCAGACACAGACCACTTTTGAAATTTTAGAATTAGACAAGCAGCTATTCCTCTTCTTAAGGCTAATCTTGTTAAACTATGCCAAGAAAGCTACAACTGCTTAGATCCATTAGCTATTTCCTTTTTCCAGCACTACAGGGCCTAGGGAGGGTAAGCTCAATTCCACCTGGGGATTATTCTTATGCAAGCCAGCCTTCCAGCTGTTTTGTGCCACAGGAGTGGTGCAGAGCAGCTGAAGAAGGGGCCAGAAACTGGCCTGTTGCTCTTAAAATGGTGTCCCTGAAGGTAGTCTGTGTTAATCTAGAATAACATTTTTAGTCTAATTATGTAGATATTTTTGTTTTACTGTAGAGAAAATATGTTTTGCATACCGTATAGATTGAACGCTATTTTTCTTGTTATATTAAGTGTTAGCTCTGTGATTCCATCATGCCAGGTTGGTTGTGAAGGGATTTCTTTGTCTCCAGCACTGATAACAAGATGAGCTGTTTGATAGCGTGCCCTTTTGGATATTTCAAAGATGCAGCAGATTTTGGTAAATCTTTTAATGAAATTTCACTTGTCAGTTTTATGTATCTACAGGGTTTATTTCATGCAAGTCCCCCAGTATGTTGTTAAAAGTGAACCCAATAAACACATAATTTCAAAAAAAGCTTAGTTTAATTTTTAGCCTAAGTTTAACTGTAGGGAAAAAGATGATATATAGTTTAGTTCCATAATAAAAACACATAATCATACAGCAGAGATAGCTAAACCCAATAGATATCAACTATTTGGCAGGTTAGAGGACCAAGTCACTGAAACCATGGCCACTTTTAATGTATCCCAATGTATGAAGAAGTACTACTTTGCATTGCTTTAGGGCCTTCCATCTGCTGATACCCAATCCTGAGCTCTAACAAGACAAATTAACCCATTTAGTGTGCACTGTAAAGGTCTGCATGAAATGTAAATAGACAAAGAGGAGATAAACTAGCATTATCATTGGAGCCACACAGCATTTGATGCGTAAGATTAATAAACATAATGGGGTGAGATTCTGTGCTGTGCCTCTAAGAAGCACAGCAGAGAACTTGCAGCCCAAGGACAGGAAGGGCTAATTTGGCTTTAAGCCACCTGTTGCCCTGCTGATCCTAGACTGTTGCAGGAATTGCAGAGACCTGTAGTGTAACTTGGTGTCCTATCTACCTTATGGCAGCCTCTTAAGGCTGCCCTATGAGCTACAGGGCTGCTTGGACTCTTCAAAGCATTGCATGCTGCAGATGCATCCCCAGTACAGCTTTCCCACCCCCCTTCTTACCCTCAGAATGTCCCTTATGCCAGGGCCCTTGACACACAGACTTATACTGTCTTTTTAAGTGGCTGTGCTGGGGAATCCTTCCTTGGCCAGAAGCAGGGCTTTCAGGAAACTTTTATGCCACTCCTAACCCTTTCACTGGTATAAAGAGCTAGAGCTGGGATCAGGATCTCACTCAGCGTATTTGCCCTTTTATGATTTATGAAATTGAATCATTCTTCTTATACTGGTAAATATATAATGCAAAATACCATCAGAGGAATCTATGCTGTTTCTGAATGGCAGTTTTTCTGTGTTTTTAGTTCTGAGTACAAAGAGTATGGCCTGTGGTGGCATGATGAGAAGGATTTCTAAAAGATATGCTATAGCTCAAACACAGGTTATGGGCTTGGTGCAGAATATATTAATAATGTCCAATAACTATTCCAGGTGACAGAAAATAACCCACTTTTGTATATTGACTGAAGAGCTATTATACAAAGCTGTATAGTGGATAAATTATTTATCTTTAAACCTTGTTTAGCTTTCCTATACCAAACACTGGTTCTAGAAAAGCCGCAGCAATTGTTTGCCTAAAATGCTTATGCAGTTGAACTTTTCCCCCAGCTTTTTCAGCCTGTGGGGTTTCATCTCATGCATCTTTTTATTTGAGTCCTATTTACAGTATCCTAATAAATCTGCACACTTTAGAATCATTTGGACGTCTGAGGATACCCATGAGAACTGTAACATTCTCAAGCATATGGCAATGCTTTGCTACTGTGTGGACACTGGAATCTCAGTCACTTCAAGACTGAAATTAGACCTCTTGTTTTTGGCGTGGAGTGAAGAGATCCTGAATGAGGACCAGTGAGTTCCTTATGAGCAGTAAAGTCAACCCAGCATCCTCAGTAAGAACAGCAGAAAGTAGTACTTAAAACTCCATTTCTTCTTCTAGAAAATAAGATTTATATCACAGACACATCTATGAAAAATGTGTTCAATGCAAACTCCTCTTTTAAGATTGTGCCTCTTGGCTAAGTTAGTCTTTCATAACTAACACACGCAGTACAAAGCTCAGTACTGACCTCTCCTAAACACAATTTCTCCCACAAAAATCTATTATTGGTACATTCTCACTGTACTTTTAATTGATGATTATGATGAATTGACAGTGCCATCAAGTTTTAGATAATTTGGATAATATCTATGTCTCTGAGGAAGTTTAATTTTCCTGGAAAGTCATTTCAGTTACTAGAAATTAAATAGTTTATGGCCCAAGCTTTGGTTTGTAGGAACCGTTTTTGAGAGGAAGGAAATGTGACTGCTTTGTATTATTTTCTAATGTCTGGCTTAGATATTTGGGTGTGATACCAGTTACTTTATATTCATTGTCTTAGCAAATTTACACTTGGTATATTGTCTTCAACCCATTAGATGCTACTTATCAAACCTTCTTGCAAATAATCATTTTAAATTTCAGCTCCCACTCCTTCCTTTTCATGTATTTACCATTCTAAGACTTTGAATATGCTATCTTGTTAACATGTGTATTCACAAGCATGTGTTACAAATTTATTTTTCAGAAATATCTTTTTGAATATTCAGATAGCCACTATGTTCAAAAGTGTTTCTCAGTTGTGCATTCATATTTTTGGTTAAGCTTAAGACTTCCAAAAATAATATAGGAGAGGAAAACTCAAAAGCTCATTGCTTTTGTGGCTATTTTTGCTGGGGCCAGTTTTAGGCCATGTTTCCAATGATCAGTCTGTACTCCTTAGTTATGTACTATATACATAAACTGTGTCTGCTACAAATTATGTTTTTTTTAGCCTACCCATATAGCCTATTAAACAGTAGTTGGAATACTTCCATCCCTAAAAAGAACCTTTGGCATAAATAATATTGTCATTTGGGTAGGCTAGACATAGTTTTGTGAAGTGACCTTGTAAAAATATTGTCTGAGGTATGACTGAGCTTAAATTATATGACAGTGAGCTAGTATATTCTGGTCCCTCCAGTGAATGAAGTCTCTTCTTGTAGCAATGGAATTACTTGCATATTTTTTTCCAAAAAAATGCAACATAGTAGAATGCACAAGAGGTTGTAATAAACAATCTATCCTAGGCACAGACCTATATGTGAGTCCTTTATAGTAATGACAAACCGTGTTTGCTGCGTTTTTTACTTTCTGATGCTTTTGTCTTTTTGAGGTGAAAGGATAGAAAATTTTGGAAGGAGGTTGTTCTTGTTGCTGAAGAAACTTCAGTCTGGCACAGCTGAGCTGAAGAAACCATTCTGACTCCCTGTATGGTCATTCCAAATGTCTTTCCATGCCACTCATCCTCAGAGGTTTAGCAGATCAACAGCATTAAGGCTAGGGTGCTTTATGTTAAAGTAGTTTGCAGATCCATTTAGACATATGAGACAGCTGCATTTTTCTGTTTCTCTAACAAACGTGTCCCAGTCTCTGCTCAGAGATGAGCAAACATCAAGCAATTTTCCTCCTAGCGTATAAGGCAGTGATGGATATAGTAGCTAAATATTCCATTTACTTACTTTGGAATCTATTATCCAGCCTTACAGCTTTGATTTATTCAGCCAAATCTATTCTAGCTCATGAACAGAGATTGGGCCATTTCCAAACTTCCAAACATAGGTAGATCTGTCAATATTTTTCTATCACATCATTTGCACTACTTCTCAAACCTAATGTGTCACCTTTTGGTTTGTGTATTCTCTAAAAATATGGAAGAAAATAGTGTTACTCCCACAGCTGTAATGGAAATTTTTACTCAGATGATTGAACATTAGCTTGTATCTTTTTTAAAAACCATCTTTTTGAAATACTTGAAAACTAAAAGCTAATTTCTAAAACTAGAAATCTGAAATTACTAACTTTTCTTCACTGGCTTTGGGGGAGTCAACACCTTGGGGAATTCAGCAGGGGTAGAAGAAGCACAATGATTTTAGGTTGGATCATAAAGCTGCTGTGATATAATTAGAACAATACAGTGAAGCTAAGACAGAGACATGGAAAAATACAAGGCTGCTATTGAATTAGTCTCCTACTCCTTGCCAGGAAAGTACAGGGGCACTCAATACAAGCAGGTAGAAGAAATGTGTTGAGGAAAAGAGCTGCATCTGGAAGGGCCACTTCCCAAGAAGAGCTGTTACTACATTTTGGGCCAAATTTTCAACCACAGCCTCAAAACTACATACTCCAAGTTCTGTGTGCAACATTATAGGCTTGCAATTTTGGATGCCTAAATATTTGGCTGCCTAATTTATGGTGCAAAAATTGGAAGCCAGGTGACTCTCTGTAAATATGGCCCTTTAATATTATTGGATGGGGCTGTCAACAAGCAGAAATGGTCAGTAAAGATGCTCTTTATAAGCAAAACTGAGGCGCAATGTAGGAGATCTCTACATTTCTCACGCATATGATACTCTGAGTCCATAAAAAGATCTTTAACCAGGGCATAACTACCTTCTTCAAAATCCACCCAGATTTAAGCTTATATATATAAACTAATTTTCTCTGTAAAGCATCCAAGCTCTACGATGGCAGATCGTCACTATGGGCAAGTTCTTGTCTTGTATCTGTCTCCATCCGTGCCTTCAGACTGTAAGCTCTTTAGGGTAGAAGCCCATTATCTCTTCGTTGCTGAACTTTCATTGTGCAGTGCTATGTACGTTTATGGTGCTAGGTTAGAACATGAAAAAGTAGAGGAATTAAGTTTATCTTTGTGAATAGTTGCTCAAGCTCAGCACCTAATAAAGGGCCAGACTTGACAGCCTTTGTGGTGGGAAGGACTACTTGCATAAGTGCTAGAGCTCAGTGGGACTGCTTGCGTCAGTCAGTGCTGCTCACCATGAATAAAGGTTGCAGATTTGGGGGAGAAATGTGCCCATGTGACTTAGGAGTCTAATTTGTTTTTGAGAGTAGGTCTTAGGTTCCTAAGTCACTTGGTGCATGTCTTCACTGCCAAAAATGTGTGTTCTTAACTTGGGCAAGCTAACCCAGGTTAAAATAACAGTGAAGACTTGGCAACTCAGCTTTTAAGCCAGGTTCTCCTTCAAGTATGTGTCAGTGTTGAGTCCCCTCTAGGTGCCAATGCAACCACGACTGGATTTTTTAGCTAGCAGTGTCTGGTGGGGCCATGCCTGAGCCTTGCAACTCTTCATGCTCCTGTACGAGGGTATAAAAGATAGGTGGTCCCACCCCTCCCTCAGTTCCTATTTACTACTTGTGTGGCAGCGAGTCGGAACCTAGCAATGTCCTATCATATGATAGAATTCTAGAAAGCTTCAGAAAATCCTGAAAAATCATCAGAACTCCTTTTGACAACTTTACTTACCTGAAATCCATAAAAACTTTAAATTGGACTACATTGTCAAACAGACCCACCTATACTGATGTCCACACCCTGTACAGACCCCGTTGTACAACATGGCAGAATCAAAGGCAGGCTTCGAACCTTGCTTGTTCTACGATGGACTCATCCCACTGAAGGACAGCCACAGCAGATGCCTTTTCTCCCATGGTGAATCCCACATCCCTAGCAGACTAGGAAATGTCATGGACAGAACTCAAGCTCTGTCTCTTAGAACAGTCGATGAGAGTGGCATGTGACCCAGAAATCCTAAGACTGAGCACTCAACTACCAGTAAGTGATGCTGGTCAGTGCACTGTCAATCAGCAGGGCTACTTCCAAGACAATGTTGGGAAAAGTTGATGCTGTACAAAACATCCCCTGCCTCCACACTGACTCTGGTACTGACTGCAGCATTGGAGTTACCTCAAGCAGTCGCTCTTGACGTTGATGGCTAAGTGTCACAGCAGGCTGAGTGGGGGTGATCACAGCACTGAGGTTAGGACTCCAGAAAGAGCTCAGTGTCCTCCCATGCCATGTGATACAGGTAGACCTTGAAGGCCAAGTCCTCCAAGATTTGCCAGGCATCTCCAGGTGAGAAGGAGCAGTCTGTAATGCAACATGCTTCATCAATGCCATTTTCTGATCTGTTGGTTGCTTAAGAATCCCTAATTAATGCTCTGAGGTTTGGCCCAATGCTATTAGAATTACTATTAAGTTGACGTGCACAGGAGCAACATTCTCACTTAGGAAACACCTCTTGATTTTCATAGTTTTATTAACACAGTAAAATCACAAACACTTCAACCCAGCAAGGTAGATAGAGATAATACAGAAGTAGCGTCTGAGCATCCATATACTAACACTATCCCTTACAGAAAAATTCCAAAGTGTTAGTCATTATCTTCCTCCTCCTCCTCCTCCTTACCAGTCGTTGTCAGACTGGCATCTCCCAAGGCATGCAGGCCAGGACACAGCTTTTATAATGTGATACTCTGATACTCACTATACCTCATGCATATTGGGTAGGGATTTCAGCCCCTTTTCCTTATTTGAACTTCCACATCCCACTGATGTTTGAGTACCCTTCTCCCATAGGTTACTAGGCCTTTTACCTCAAGCTTTTTAGCATGTGCATCAGTTAGTCACCATGGCATTCTTGTGGTCAGACATCTGCCAACGTTCCTAACTTAAAATATCTCAAGATGATATCAACTGGCATCTTGTGGTTAACTGTCAGCAGTTTAGTCATTGCAGCATTCTGTCTTCTGATCTCTTACAATGTAGCGTTATTCCTGGTTAGCTGAATATGCTAAGGCAGGGGTGTCAAACTCAATTGCACAGGGGGCCAAAACTCAAAAC